CAAGGCTTTCGCCAGTGTGATGGCACCTGTCCCATAATAACTGCGTGTAACAAGCGTCCTGCAGTCTAAAGTGCCGCATGCGTCTAACCGAGATCTAAACAATCGTCCTGCAGCGTGGCTCCGGTTCGACACAGACAATGCTGGTCTGATTGTCTTCATGGCTCCCTACGAATTTGTGGTACGTCAGACCGGCGTTACAGATGAGTCAGAAGACCTCCTTTTGCGTTAATCCCTCCACCATTTATGTCACACTGAATAACCATATGAGGCTATGGAAGGATTAAAAGGCTCCGATAACGTTAAAAGCCAGCACAAAAATAAGTATTATGGCTGGAGAAAAAGACCGGTCAGTCTTGGTTCTCGTGAAGGAGGACTACCAACTCAAAGCTTTGAAACTACTCGAAGATAGGGGGTATTAAAGAATCAGTAAAGTCCCCAGTCTGAATTCGCTGCTGGCACGGGGAAAAGAACACCCACTCAACCAGTTTTATGACCTTCCAAAACAAGTCGGACAGATCCCTCTTCAGTCACTTGTCTCACACCGAGGCACGCCCACACATGGGTTGCAATCTTATCACTCCAGAGCTGTTCCCGACAGCGAGCCCACAACAGCGCGTTTGACAGCGCAGTTACTGGATAAAACACAGGTGGTCAAAATTCAATCGTCACTCGATGGCACCTAACACAGGCGTTCGCATTTGAACCGCTCAGTAGCTTGCTGTAATAGAGCTAGGATGGGAACGATGGTTAACCCCAACTCAGGATCTGCTGGAGCCCTGAGGCATTGCGTCAAGTCATTCCTCATCTTTGAAGGGACCACATGCGAACAAACCAGGGGCGCCACGATGGGTTCACCAATTTCCGGGCTCATGAGTGATGCGGTTGTCCGAAAATTCGAAAGACGGCTGTTCGGTGAGTACCAAGCCAGATTTTGGATGTGGTACGTTGACGCCACCTTTGTCATAATCAACTGAAAGAAGATTGATTACTACAAGTCATGAATGGATGCAATCATTCTCGATCCTGATGGAGGAGAAAATGAAGGACAGACTTTGGTTCTTGAATGTGCTCGTCTCGCCAACCGGCCGGCCGGCTGGCGACGACAGTTTACAGGAAACTTCCTAAAATGCGGCAAGTACTCATGTAACAACAGCGGCCACTCGGTGCATCACGAACGAGGCCGCATACGTACTGCGGCTGGAATCTCACTTCATAGCGCTTTTCACCGAAAGATGCGAGGCCGAAAGGTACTCTGAATCTACGGCCAGCCATAAGAATTCGTCGAGAGGAACGAAATGACATCAAGGAGGCTGGCTGAAGAGTTCGATCGGCCGAAAACATGGCCGAGTATTCCGTGTGTGAAGATGACTAGGAGTTGTGCATATTGAGGTTGCTCGCCATTAACTGACACTTCATATCTAACTCAATTGCAGCAGAAAATGCCTCCGAGAGAGGAACATCAAAACAGTGATGCTTGGGATGGGATGGATAGACGCAATCAATTAGTAAAGCATACTTGTTCCCTACTTCGACTTGGAACCAGTGGCTTCTTTTATCCGCCGAGGGACATGGACGCTCAGACGGCTTACGTGTGAGTGCTGGTTCCGCATAAACGCCAATTTATTTTCCGAATATAAGTGTAGCCAGGACAAGGAAAAGCTCGGGGTTAGACATAGAGGGCGTGGTCCATGCTTCAGTCACAAGAGCAACGCTTGGAGGATTGAAAACACTAGAATTTGTAGCAAATATACCTTAGTGAGCAGGGATCAGGCGTTTAAAACGGAATGTTCTGGGCGCGCACCGTTCTTCTGCAAGCAAAGGAAACTAGTTTGCGCAACAAGACGGTCCACCAATGTTTGCTATTGAATATTTTCTTCCGGTTGCGAAAAAAATGTTGAGGGGTAAATACTACTGGATTTGGGTACAGAATGTGAAATTTGAAGGGGTGAAAGGCTAGAAGGGAAGGCTGACTACTACTCAATGCTTCCCGGAGTTACATAAGGAACCCATGGGGGCGATGTCACAGTGTATTCCGGCTTAAATGCCACTGTAGTCCAGACAGCTTTACTTGCACAAGGAGTACACTCACGTTAGGATACCAATGAGAATGCGACTGTCGAAAGCGTGTAAGAGAGAGGGGGACACGATGATATACCTGAAGTAGCAGCCCCATCACTAGACTAAAAGACGAGCAAAGTGGTTTTGGTTATCTCGCTATAAGACCTGGGCTGATGGTGAAAGGGTCCCACATTTGTAGCGGAAGGTCGAGGCGAGGAAGACATCCTTAGGACACTGATGATCTTCCTTTAGAAAAACATTATAAGAGGTTGAGGATATGGCAACGTCAGATATGATACGTCCACTGAAACAGTAGAGGTCACTAAATTGGTGTAGGTCTTCGAAACTGTCATGTCTTTTAAATTTTTCTGCATATTCGCAAGGTCAGGGGAGATATAACAATGTCGCCTACGGTAGAGATCATCCGTCATGCCCTTTTCGACAGAATGAAGTTACCATTCATCAAAGCAACCGAGTGCGACCGTAGTCGTTTTGCAAGCGCTAACTTGATTTCGAAACTGTGGTTCATAAGAAATAGCAAGAACATTAAAGAACATACATATATAGTATTACCCAGAACGATGGGCTTACAGGTGTGCCCAACAGCACCCTCAATGGCATTCATAAGATGTCCGTACAAAAGCTGACTTAAAACTTGGGCGGAAGATGCTTTTGTTATTGCTGGTATCGTCGCATTCTGAGTAATCAGCTTTCTCCCTTCGATTAAAGAAGGCAGGTCCGGCTTCCTGAGCATCGCTCATGGAACTTAGATGAAGTCTGGGCAGTGGCTCAATCAGCTAGTATAATCGACTCTATTACACTGTTGGTAGTCCACGTGTTTTATGCGGCGAGACCAAAGTATAACGAGGCAGACTTCTTAATAATAGACCAGTTTCATCCACGCTATAGGAGTTTTTAGGTTCATGCCTAGAGATGTTCGCTTATGAATTCTTAAATGCCACCAATGGATAAGGGTCGCTTTACTCAATCCCAGCTACCTCCAAAATGCATTCATTATTTTTAAGTCTTTTCTGATTTTGAAGTCGTCCAAAGACCCCGAAGATGTTTTGAAGAGGTTTTTGATTAATCCTCGAAGTACGGGCACTTCCGATGTGCCAGCGCAATAGTTAAAGGAGAGTGGGCTTCCATTTCCTCTATCAGTAGAAGTCGATTCAACTTTATGAGTTACTTTTTAACACATAAAACGTGCGAATACTGTTTTTCGATATCGAATTTCCGAACTCCTCATAAGTGGAACTGGTTCTCTAGGCGGCAACTTCCCTTTTGACAATAAGTTCCCTAATTATACCATGAGGGGACAGCAGATTTGCGGGCAACGTCTCTTTGACTTGGTGGATTAGATTTCTGGAGCGTATGAATAATATCCATATGCTGAGAGGTTTTGCTGTACCCCTGTAAGACCGTTCCATCCTAGCTATGGAAGCAGATAAGCCATTGAAACATCAATGCTTCAAGCGGGCATAGTTCAAGTTGAGGATCTAACGGAATGCCTACCGTGTTAACAAAATCCTCATGCACGTGTTTCTTCGATTTTCTGTTGTAGCGGGACACTTTTGCGGAGGTGTGGGTAGCCCTTTGACATATTTTTCTATTTATAGCTATTCCATTTATTAGCCATTTTCCAAACACGCATTTATTCACGTTTGTTTAAGTTGGCGTTTACTAGACGCTACGCGACACATCCCAACTGGGGCGCTTCGGGCTAGAGAACTATGACACAACAGTTCATGGCTCGTGCGAATGCCACCTCTCGAGAGATTTTTCGTCTCAAGAATGGAGGCGAAAGTTCAAATTCCAGGTGTATAAGTGACGAAGAAGGATGGTCGAACACCGGAACATTTTGTTTATTCTTCTGAGCTCTCGAACTCGTGCAGGAGTCCGTCGTCAAAGATAGTAACGGCAACAGAACAAGGGACAATTATAGGGTATGCAAGCCAATCATCGACTGACGGCGCAAAATTGGAGATAACTGCGCAGGACTCTGTACACCGGCACCAGATCGATAAATCAATTGACTGAATTCTCATCCGATGCCCAGGCCTCAATCATGTCTCAGTCTGTTTTGTTTTCAGCGTGGGCGACTATTTTTGGCGGCTGCGAAGTTAGACTCATGACCCATTTCGTAGGTGTGGGCAGGCACTTTTGATAATGTGTCGCCTCTTCGCACACCCAGCTTATGTTCGTGTATGCGAACATGCGTCCAGTCTGGCCTATGTAGTTACAAGGACTGTCTTGGCATGGGATGCGATACACTAATCCAGATTGCTCCTCAGACTTTAACCGGTCTTTGATTTTCATGAGCTTACTGCGCATGGTGGCTTTGGGACGGTGTGCAATTCCAACACCTAGCTCCGCAGCGATGCGCTCGGTCGCTTTTGAAGCGTACTTGATGTATGGCAGAAAATGCCATATCGTTGGCGGTCTTAACGCTTGGGTCCTTTGAGGGTGACAGGCAGCGACTCATGAATACCTTCGGATAGCCATTTTGTACAAACTGGTCGCGGGGATAATGAGTCTCATGTGTTCGTTCTTCCGGTTTGCTGAAATGAGTTTGGATCCGTGTGAAGAGCGTCCTCACACAGCTTCGCTTGTGAGCCACCAGATGGTTGATGTGAAAAGTGAGAAGTTGTGTGGTGTTCGTTGCCCTCATGTAAACCGTCGTTTCAAGTTCACCGTTAAGGTTTCATCTGACGGGTACATCCAGGAAGGGCAACTGCTGTTCCTGTCCTTCTTCGTTCTTAAATTTTATATCAGGGAAGACTGCGTTGAGCAGGTTGTGGAAACGTTGTAGTATGTCCTTCTTTACGATAAAAGACGTGCCGTCTACGTAACGGCGCCAAAATACTAACTCACGTTGGATGACAGCAAGCTCTTCTAACTCTTGTAGGACAAGTTCTGCCACTAATTCGGAGACCGGTGGACCCATTGGAGTTCCCTTGAGTTGTTCACAGGTCTCTCCAGAAAAAGTGAAGAAAGTTTGTTGGCAGAATTCAAACAGCCTCATGAGGTGCTCAATTTTGAGTGCATTCTGAACCTCGTCATACGCCTCCTCAAGTCTCTTGCACAAGACTTCGCGGGTCGGGTTTGATGGGTTGGGTGTGAATAACGTCACATCGAAGGAGACCATGGTTTCGTCATATTGAATTTTCCGATCTCGAAAGACTGATCGGACTGAGATAGTCGAACCGCCCTGGAGGAAATTTAATTCTGAGTACATCCACTTTGCCAAACTATAGGTTGGACTGTCTTCGGTCTGTTCGGACTCGAAGGTGCGGTTAAAACCCGTAGAATGAGCCTAGACTTGGGAGCTGTTGACTTTTCTCCTCACTGCAGCTGTGTGTTCTGCCATCCGCATACGGAGTAGTCTTCTACATTCTCTGGCATAGTTGCTTTGCACGTAGCTTCACCAGATCCGGTAAACAATTCTCAGTGTTTGCTGCCGTGGCAGCGGATCGTTCGGCCTCATTACGTGATGCCTGACGGCTGCGTCCGGTCTGTTTGAAACCCCAGTCCTAAGTCCCACAAGAAGGCGACTGATGGCTTTCGAAACGTTCTTGAAGTCAAAATTTGGGAACATTGAAATTTGGTCTCTCATTTCGTTTACGCGTGCACCGGTTGACAAAGCTGCGCGGGTAAGCATTCGCTGCAAGCATCCGTCTAAGGTATTTTAATTCATCAACCTTGTGTTCCGGTCCGCTGCAGAGCATCTCAACGCGCTGGTATAGCACCCTTACGCATTCGCGCTTGTGGCTGTTTGGGTGACTACTGTGGAGCTCACTACTTGCATGGTATTTGTTGTTTCACTGAAAAATGTTGGTTTTAAGGCCTCCACAATCTTTGAGGCAGACGAAGGCATGAAGCAAGGCTGGCTGGTGTCTTTCTTCCTCCTCCGGTATAAATTTCATGTCCGGTGGGATGGCGCTGAGGTTTTTTAGAGCGCCAGCATCTGAATCTCTTAAAAGGCAGCGTAGGTATCATCTACATCCCGAACCCAGAATTTCGATTTATGGTGTCGGAAGACCAGCGACACCAACCATCAAGGAATCGTCCCAGCTATAAATGACTGAATCAGTGACCCCGTTGGCATATCTTTCACCTGCGTGTGTACTGTCCCGTCCAACGGAAAGTACACCTTAAGGCAGAATTTTAAGAGTTGGAGGTTTTTTGGTGTGTCCGAGGCGATTCTCCTTATTATGGTAGTTGTTTTGCAGGAGTAGTTCAGTAACCTGACAGCGAGGTCCTAGAGAACAGTAGTAAAGGGAGACGTGAGGACAAAAGATAAAATGGCGTCATTTGGAAGGAGGCTTAACTCTTTCAGTATCTCCAACAATAGTGTTGACGAACTGGCTACGATGCCTGAATCAGAGGTCAGAAATTTAAGATTCTGAAACTACCACTTTGCGATTTGCAAGTTAGAATGCTTGTGTGTGAAACGATGGGCCGTAGGGAAGAAACCTCTTCGTGCACCTTGGAAAGGCCACAAAGT